AGGCAGCGTGTGGCAGATAGGTGGCATTGGGCCAGCCACGGTCACGAGCGGCCGTCGATCCCGCGCCCTCGCCCTGCCTCATAACAATCATCACAGACAATGGTCCAACATTACCGGAATGATGTTAAAAAGACAGCCTTTCTCATAACCTATAGCCATAAGTGAAATCTTTGACGATGCGAATCAGAGTCATTTGTTTAAAGATCAAACGGAAAATGTCTTGAAAGGAAATTATCGTAAGAAAAGACCAATATATCCAAGTAGCAGTGTCTTGTTGTATCATGTTAACTTGAAATTAAGACACTCCTTTCTCAAAGCAATGCACCTGCAGATGTGTCATTGAGATACAGAAAAAAGGCAATCTTTAAAACGAACATTGATTAAAATTATCAACATTAAAAACGACCATCACGTACTTATCATTAACGATAGGAAATTTTAAAAGAGTTACATATGATAAAAACTAGTCATAATATCTCAACTTTAAGGAATCGACTTAAGGATAAGATAACAAAAAGGTCTTATCTATTCCCGAGGGTGCGTCGAGAGTTGGGTAGAGTTTACGAATAGCGGTTGTAAAAAATCATTACAAAAAAAAACGAACTTTCGAGTCATTTACAACGCAGCAGGTAGTGAGTTATAGTCCCGAGTTTCTTTGTTATTGAACGTAAGAATAATATTTCACCAGCAATTGGCAGTAAATAGGACTTTCGTGACAATAGAGTCGGTCCGTCCGTCCGAACGATGCCTCGGCTATTTTAACCCGCAACACGTGTCCCTCCAAAATGTTTGTTTAGGCTAAGTCGTAAAGCGTCAATGACAGGATGCGGTGTAAACAGACAAGGTTATTTTCAATTTTTCAATATTTTTGCCAATTATCCGAAATAGAATTTTCAAGAAAATGTAAATTGCAAGTGCATTCCAGTCAGGCGTACAACCCAGGGCATAAAGCCAGAGAAATTTCAATAGAGAATATTTATGTATAGTAGAAGTTTTTCGTTGTGCACATGAAACATTCTCAGGAGTGTGTTTATGTTTGCAATTAATCACGTAAATGATAAGTCTCATATACGATTTCGTTTATTATACTTACAGCAAAAGATTGGACTAAGTTGCCAGTCTCAGTTTTTCTTATATTTAGCTTTATTGAAATATCAATCAGCCGTAACCTATCACAATCGAATTTCTGGACATTTGGCTACTTTATAAAATCCGTCGGCCAAGGATCTCAAGCGGGTACAGTAAATAATATAAATCACGACATAATCGATTTTGATTCAATACGAAAGCGCGCCGAAGTTATTTCGAGTGCGGCACGCAAACACATTATTTATTCTCAGTTGAAAATAACTCGACCGAATTCGAAATAGTGCACGATCGTTGAAAATAACTTTTTATTTCATATTTTAACATTGACGTGAAAGATTATTTGTTGTTGCAATAAAATATCTCATTGTTACGCTATTGCCTATGTTGGAACATCGGAAAACGGCGCAAAGTACAATTAACAAGAGGTTTATAAACATGTGCCTAAAAATTAAACGAAAAGTGAGTCATTACTCTCATTTCATTAGATGAAAAACTACGAAAGATTAGTCAACACTACTCGAATGTTGACTAGTTCGCAACAAAAACTTGGTGAATCACCGCGACCTTTATTTCCGCATGTTGTTGGCGCCATCATACTTAGTAATAAAAATAAAATACGCCCATGCGACTGGATTACTAAATAGTCAGAGTTAAAAAACTAATTTGTCGTATTTTTTGATCTCTTTTTTTTACGTTTAAAATTATACGTTACGCTATGCATTACGAAAGTATTTATGACAATCCCACGAAGCTTAATCGCTATATGACGAAGGTAATGAAGGTATTTTACTTTTAGACAATATAGTTTTGATAATTTAATTTAAATGTGTTATATTAGATCTTATTATTCTTTTAAAGAACATCGGGTCATCACTTGCCAGTAGCAGCGAATAAGACGTTTCTGTAAGAAAAGGTTAACCAGCTACCAACCACTATCTCATCTAGTAGTTGTTAACGGAAGATGATACGCCCTAGTATCGTATATTATAGAATCTTGGAAATGAATAATATTCTCCTGAAGAGACCATAGCATCTCTAGCTTTGTCGGTCCATTACGCTTCCAAAACAGTCGTTGAGTGTGCGAGCGCACGTTTATCGTGTGCGTTTATTTACGCGATGCCCGCAACGTTGGCCGACTTCCAGAACTAAACGAAAATAGATGCTTCTGTAGATGTCATTGTACTACGACCAGGAGAGTCCTGATGCTGACGCACCGTGGAGTACCATACAAAGTGATATTCAACAACACAATCATATTTAGCAAACTGTTAATAAATGATATTGTCCATAAAACAAACACTAAAGACCAGTCGTACCATCATCATCAGCCTAGACAAGTCGCACCATCATCATCAGCCTAAGACAAGTCGCACCATGTTTAACTTTAAAAGAAACCTGAAGAAAAACAAGCATTTTGAGCTCAGTTTTATTTTATTTTTTGATCTTAGTTTTGAGCGTTAGTTGGGAATTGTTACCTTTGCTAATTTTATAGCCGTAATAACATACTAATAAGTTTATATAAAAACCTGATTTGAATATACATTTAAAACAGCAATTAATAGACACAGTCATGTTAAAAATAGTAAAACAAAAAACTTTTAAATGATAAGTGCGATCGTACACAAATACATTTTTTGTGTTTGATTTAAAATTTTCGTTGTAAGATTGATTTCAAATTCACGGCGCTAATGGCACCTTCCACGATTTTATTATTAGCTCGCTAAGGCGTTTAGAGATCCGTCCGAATCGTAAATAGAATCTATTTAAGCGTCCAAACCAAGACTACGGACAAAAGATGATTTTAGTTTAAAACGAAGACGCTCCATCAAAAGTAGAAAAAGATGGTTGTCGACCAACAAAAAGTGGGACGATTCGTTCGCCCAACCCTTTTATTTTGCTCCGTCGTGATGCTTTTTTACTTTTATTCTAAAAATATCGCATTCACGGACCCATTTCGAAAGGAAACGTGATTCTGTCCAAGGTCGAGTGAATTAGTATTCGTATGGAGTTCTCGCAGTTTGACCGGACGTCTAAAACTCGTTAATATGCTTGCTTGTCGATTTTTTTTACTCTTCTAACAATGATTAGAATTGCCCGCGGCCCGCGGCGGACCTGCCTTCTTTATTATGTTTCACGGGTTATGTAATTTGAAGGTCTTGGGAATTATTCTAAACTATGTGATGGGACTCTTATTTTGCGGAGTTTCGTTACATGATTTTAGGATTTCAAAATGAAATCCGAATCTCTTTGAAATCTGTAATAATTACGTAGATTTATAACTTTAAAGTTATAACCAAAATTAGGTTCCAATGTTTCGTCAATACTTTAGGGATAATTGAAGAGGGAAACACATCACTTTTGTGATGTTTATTGTCTATGATTATGATATGCAATTGAGAACAGGTTTTAAGAAACATTAAGCAACTGATTGTATTATTTAGAAATCAAAATGGTTGGGAATATTAAATAAAAATATTTTTATTATGATTTCTAGAATTTAATGTTGTCTTGCAATAAACATTAGGTGTTAAGTGCATCCATAAATTTAAAACGAGACTCCCCTCCGTTAGTGAAATGGGCTTAATGCAAATTATAAATTAAAAAATACATATATTTATACCTAATAAACTTACTCCTAATAACGCATCGAATTAAATGTTATGTAAAAAATACAGCATAAAATATAAGAGCCATTTAAATATAAAGAAGTGGTAATTTTAATAAAATATAAAATTATATCATTCCATAATAAATGATACGATATATTTTACTCTCTAAAGAAAATAATCGAAGAGGTATCATTATTTAAAAAAATGTCTCAAACTAAAGCATGGTAAACCTACAGTAATTTTTCTCGAGAGTTAAGTGTAAGCCTTGAAATGCCTTCACATTTTGTTTTCAAGTTTTGTTCAAGGAAAATATTTTATTAATCATCATGAAATATTTTTCTTCACTAATTGAATAAATGCGTTGGATGAAATTCTTTGATAGAAGAATGCTAACGAAGAAAGCTTTAAGTGCCACTAAGCTAACATTTTAATTACTCCGTTTGTAGATATTTTTTTACAAATGGTAATTTACGGTAAAATATCGTAAACTTTCAATTTTAAAATAGATTTTAAACCAAATCGATGAAATTTTAAATCATTTACTATAGTGTTTAGTCGATATGAAGCGACAAACGCCTAGGCTTTTTCAGTAGTCATTCCAAAATTACACGAAAATATGACTCATTGCTATTTTTGTTGTTAAACTAAAAAGGCAACGCTAATTAGAATTACATTCATCTAGAAAATCGTAGTTATGGCTATAAGTTTATTAATTTTTAGTTGCTATATCACAATAGCTAGCACGCATCTATCCTTCGGTCGCGTCTTCACTTAGCTTAGGTGGAATCGTGGTCAAGCGCTGGTTTATTTATGTAAAAAAATACGTAAATTAAGACGTATAAGATATCTGGAGGGAGCGTCTCTTTTTCTGAGACTACCGCAGATTCCCCTCGCGGATGTAATTAATGCGAGCATCAGACGCCCTTTTATAGCATTATGTTCAGATGTACTTGTATGATCCGAGGTTATTCACCTACCAACCAATTCACCCTACTATATTAAACATAGTCAATAATTTCTATCAAGAACTGTAATTACTGTTAAAAGCTCAATTAGATCGGATAAAGCTATCGCTTTGCAATAACAAAGATGTAGCTTTGTTGCAATCAAATATATTAAGGACTCAAGAAGTAATTGTTTAAAAGGTTGAGCAAAACAAAAATTAAATATAGTTTTATAAAATTGTTTTGTAAACTTGTTATTGCAACGTCTTGTCAATAACAATTTGTTTTAGCCGGCTTACTTATAACCTCAAAGCTAGAATTGAAGAAGATGCGACGTAAGACAGAGGGGGAGCGTCGCTCGATGTTGTGACGCATGCGCGTCTTCGACCCTTCGGAGCCGGATAGTGGAGCCGGCGCTGCACAAAGCGAGCACCCGCCGCCGCCGGCACGCACTGACCCGGCCCAACATACATGTACCGCGACCACCGAACACATTTGCGACGCACTGCCATCGCCTTCCACTTAAAACGAGCATGTGATAAATCTAAACGCTAAAACGTAGCGTCTCGTAGTGTTTGTTTTGTAGCTATCACAAAGTTATCATGTACAAGACAGTGAGACATGGTGAGAACAGTCTGCAGTATACTATCCTGCCGCAGACGGAAGAGGTGTTGAGCAACAGCGGCCTCAAGGGCAAGGGGCGCGACTACAGCCCCTCCATCCATGTCCGTCGCTCGCGGAGGAGGTCTACATTGAAATATGTTTTACTGGTAGTTTTCGGAATTGTTGTCGCACTGGCTCTGGCGTCTGTTCCGCTCTATATCATGAATGCAGCTCTGTACGCACGAAGAAATTTGCAAGATCATCACGATATTGGCACGTCTGCTCCTCTGGCTCCCACCGGCCGGGAAATAGTCAAATCGAGAAAGAAGGAACTCCAGTTTTTGCCTGAATTCATAACTACGGCAAACACCAAACTTGACACCACCACGCCAATTTTTGTATCGTCTCCTACTGTTCTCACGACAGTTATCCGTGATCGTGCGACTACTCCGCCGTGGACGATGCCCGCATTGAGGTCTTGGAAGGGATTAACTCCCGCAACGACGCTGCGGCCAGCACCCACAGAAAATATAGAACAAATTCCCTTAATCGGCACTCCGTCGGGCAGCGTCCGCTTGTTGGATAACTATATGTCTGTGAAACCCTGGGAGAAGGACATAATTATAAGACCAACAGTTACCCCGGAACCGATGACCGTTCGAAACATATTTAAGTATTACTCCCAACCTATTGTTACGTCGGATAAATCGATTACGACTAATATGAAAGTGGATGATGTGTTAATCACGACCAGGGCGACTTCTACACCATCTCCACTAATAACGGAGTCAACAACGACGTTGCCGTTACTTGAAGACGAGCAATCTTTGGAAATCGATGACGTGTTCTCGCTGTCTACATTGAAGGGAGACCCGGGATTGTCCGAACCCGTCGTTGACTCTGATGAAGTGATAATAGCTAAAGCGACACGTGGCTTGTACGGAGCTAGGTGGCCATTCGTCGATCCTTCGTCTTATTTCCAATGGACGGTAAGCTTTTTTTCTTATATAATGTTATTTTCGCTGCAATGCGTGCTTGTAATAGATCATAACAAGTACTGTAACCTCGCACTATCCAGTTATTTGATTTATGAGACTTTAATTAGTTTTTTACGCCTAAACATGATTAATTTACTATAATGTTTGAAGCAATCGTGTTGTCATTATATAACAAGTCTGCACTGAGCTGTAACAAATCGCACCGATTCTCTGTCTTATTGCCAACACATCCTGTCGTTAAGATAAAAGCTAATATATTAAATACGGTTACTTTTAATCATTGCAAACATTGGATTTTTTTTTATAATACAATTATTGAACAAGGTATCGTATTCAAATTTTATTTTATTTTTCTTTATCACTGATTACCAGAAAAACTTATAATTTGAATCATGATCACATCTTTCCTTTATTTTTAAATAACATAATATATTTTCGATTAGCGATAGTAATCATGATTTTTTTGTTTTTAAGTAGTAATTTGCATTTGCTTCTATTTATTTTCAATAATAATATACAAAGCTTTAATTAGAAGATTGCTGGTGTTTACCATTTTGGTTTAGAGGTTACATTAACATTTGGAAACCATTTTTTTTTAAACACTATGGTAAATATATTTACTACATGTTACATAGTTTACGTGTAAAATCGATATTAACTACGGTAAAACAAGACCCTGAGGAATATACGTATTTCTAAATACCGTATGTTACTTTGCATACGTTTAATTAATGCCACATCTAGATGTATTTTTATATTTTAAGATGGATGGATGGATCTTTGTTAGAGTTTGTAGCCTAAACGGCTGAACAGATTTTGATGAAATTTGTTATAGAGGATAGCCTGGAAGAACACATAGGCTACTCACTTCTATTTTTTATTAATTCCATGCGGATGGAGTCGCGGGCGAAAGCTAGTAGTAAATAAAATTTACTTACTTAAACAACAATAAACTAACGTACCTGTGTAGAGTTGGTTATAAAAAATCTACTTTAATTACTTGAACTTAATTTAAAAAAAATAACCATAATTTCCCAGAAATTCACGTGTTCTTGTTCGCAAATAAATATTTTCAGAATTAAACATACATTTTCAATTCAAAATAATAAAATTTTATTTGTTTTATTCGCTTGCAAAAACTTCATTATGTGTAATCAAGAAACCTTATTCGAAAACAAACGAGTCTTTAGCGTTGTAATTGCTACTTTTATGAATTTAAATTAATCTGTGTCTTAAAGGAAAGTTACCAATTTTTACTTACTTATATAAAAACAATAATACCATTTATTATACGTCTTTGATTAATTTATTTTTACAATCTTATATAATACTTAAAACTTGAATATTTGCTTAAGTAGCCCGTTACAGTATTCCTCACACTGAGTCGACACTAAAGATAGCCCTTATCACCCATTTAACGACATGTAAATGTGAAGCCTGAAGGAAATGTAAATCTTAATGTAGTAAGAGCGCTCGTACACCTTTGACTAAACAATAGCATAACCGTTGTGTTGGCGATTGTTTTGGTAGATAATTCAACTGTTTAGTTCCACAAATAAAAATGTTGTCTACTCAATTTATTTTAAGACAACGAGTAGTTTTCACAATGTATTTACACATGTCTTTCGTAAGTTTTAATATCTCTATTTGTTGCAGGGTTATACTTTGACGGACAATCTGTTGCTCCCTCTGCTTGTATCTACTCTGTCGTCTGTTATCCTCGTGTTGCTACTGGCTGTGGCGGTACGTCGCCGCAAGAGGACGACTACAGCTTCCGCACAGATTGGGGTAACGGAATATTCAAATCTAAAGCGCCAAAAACGCTTCTTTTTGTTTGATAGATGAACTCTGTATAAAAGTGAACAATAATTACTACATAGGCATACAATAATGTGGACTTGTTTGAGATAAATTAGTTAAAATTAGGACAAAGCTGCCGACCGGTCGAGTTTTATCGATACCGCTTCTCAGTAGGGCCTTAATCATAATGTTACGTCGGTGTCGAATGTTATCTACAACATTCCCAAAAACTCGAATTCACGGAGAAACAAAACTCGTTTAAATGCTCTACTTTGAAACATACTTATGTTTAGCCACAGATAACACAATAGTATACTACGAGTAGTAACTAAATCTGTTACTTGAGATTAGAAGTTGTAGCTTTCTAAAATGTTAGGCTAGAATAAATATTTCATCTTCTACGAATTTGCTAAAGTGAATGTTCTTAAACCCATCTTTCTTTCAGAAGTTAACTGCTGATCTTCAAGATGATGTTACTAACCTTCTGCAGGCTGAAAATCCAGAAGACGCCGAGGAATAAACTACCTAAACCAATTCGCTTGTTCATGTAGCTTCCAAAGTACAAGTAAAGTTATGCCTTATGTACAATTGAAACAAAGCTCATAATCCCTGTTGTACATTAGGCATCAGAGCACCGTATAATTTATCAGCTAATTCTGTAGTGTTGAAATCACAAAAGACAGTCATATCCGCATAGTCTTCTATATACTGAGGTTTCAGTGCCTATTGTGTGTAAATATACGGTTTGTAGGACCTCCGTCGCTAAGGTCCAAGAAATGGTTTGCATATTCAGAGATACGATATAATATTGTGTAGGTAAGTATATTTTGTAATCGCATTAGATATTGAAATGTAATTTAGATATGTAATGTGTCAAATGCCAAAGTTGCTAAAATTATTTTTGTTACAAATTGTAATCTACATTCGTAATTTTTAATAACGTTTGGCTGACATTGCTGGGTAGATGTAAACAGTGAAATAGACTTCATTCCATTTTCAAATTCCATCATTAATATAGCGTGATCATGAGCTTGCTAGACAGTTTTTATTGTCGCTAATTTTATTTTCTATGTATAAATATTAAATACCTGTTAGACATAAATAGCAGATGTGCTATGTATATCATATCTCTGAAATCTCGAATATACGACTCGACAGTATTAACTAAACCCTGTGGTATATATTTAATTCTACATAGACGTACATATATGTGTAGTTACGGTAGGCTAAGTTTAATATCGATCTTGATGTTACTCTATGTCGCATCCTATTTGTGCATTTCTAATTATTCATGTATCTATGGCACGTTTTATACGCTGCGACGGATTCAAAGATGGCGTCGCAAAGCGCGGGAAAATACAGCCCTCGTTAAACAAAAGGTCTTCGTAGCAATCACGCGATTGCTTTACTTTTACCGCAAGCGATTTACTAGTTTCCTACATTGACAATAGGTTTGCATTTGAAGTTTTTCTCGAATGTTCATCGCATAATGTTCCTTAAAATTTCAATCTAAAGAGATGCAGTCGTTTGCTTCATCTGTATTTATTCTTTCCATATTATAGAAATAAGACTGATATGTTGCATTTTACTATAGTGCGTTTACTAAGTTTATAAAAAGGAGTGCTAAAACAAAGAGAAAAATTGTGGGAGGAGCATTAGACAAATGTGATAAATGTATTAGGTGATTCAAATTTTTTTTATTTCATTTAATTACAACAAGAAAGTATCTTTACATATTATTTCCGTTTCCGTACAATTTCATATCAAAGAGTACGCAGTTTAAATATACACAGATTAAAAATGTAAGATGTGATGTCAAAAAATATTTCAGAAACATGTGATTTGAAATTGTTTGCGCGCTTCTGAAGTTATGAAAAAAAAGGTGTTTATATTTCATAGTTACCCGAGTAATATTTTTATTAGGTATTCAAAGGTCTTCTTGTCTGGTTTTATATATGGAAGTGTTGAATATATTTTACAGTGTACGTATATAACCAACGTATCGCACGTATTGATAGTATTTAGGTACCGGTTTAGCTTGTGACGAGTTTCATGTTAAGGCAGAGTGGTTATTTTTTACGCTGGACATCCACCATGTATATATGCAAAGAAATAAATTATGTTTTTCCCACCAATAATTGTCTTATTTAACCTTTTTTTGCCTACTTGTCTTTTTTTGTTAAGAGCGCGTGCATATCTTTGACAAAATTATCGCACAAGTGTTTCGTCTCGCTTTGATTCCTATGAAAACTCTTAGGAATCAAGTATTTTAGGATTTTTAGTGTGAAAACTGTTGAATTAGTTTCGAAATAATCGATAATCGTAATAGTTGTGTGATAGTTTAGTCAAAGATGCACCTTCTCATAAAATCCACTCTTTGGTGAATGATTTCAATCTGAAAAGAGATAATAAAACGAGGCGATTTTCAAATAGACAAAATTTATTATACAAAAAATATACTACAAACCTAATTGACTTACATTAGGAATTACAACTATTTATTGCAACCAAACATTTCATACCAACTATTAAATAATATCTAATTTAAATAAACTTCTTTACTATTATCAAAATGTATCAATCACGTAATTGAATTTTCCTTTACAAAGTCCGTCGAAACACGAAAGCTATCGTCCTCTCTCATTCTACGTGAAAAAGAGATAGCAATATGTGTTCGATTCTTAAATTTGACACTTCTATTAAACCATATTGCTTACTCTTTGTCAAAGATAACAGAGAGAGATAACAATTGTCATGATCAATTGTTTGTGAAACAGAAATATTAACATTACAGATATAGATTTGACTTATTTATAACCTCTTAAATCCTGACAATTTAACAAATTAACTATTATAAGTTACAAATAGGCACTGGATTTGGTTTTGATATTAAATGTTCATTAATATGGAGTAAAGCCTTTGTATAACGACATTCCACAACATATATAAATGGCATAAAATGTAGATTTTCATACTTTGTACCTAGATGTGTTTATCAATATCGTATAATGCGTCTCATTAGTGTCTATTTCCACTAACACGACCCGCCACTGAAAACTGCGACATGTAGAGTCGCGTGCTCTATTTTCACAGCCCTTTAGCAACTAATATAAAAAACTAGACATCCAGTGACGAAAGACGAGCCTAGTGGCGATTTGATAGTCGAAATAGGCACATAGGACTAACTTAAACTGTCTATCAATTTATATAACAGATATATTAACATAAACACAAAAATTTAGGAGATAGTCATCGACAAAATTTGTATTGGATTTGTGCAGTGCCTTATACCGACAAATATTATACAAATTTCGTTGATAACGTTACAAATACGCTTTCGCAAATTTTCGTGCTATGTCTCTGTGGGATATGTGACGTGCATTATACTATATTGAAGTTACCTTGACAATTGACCAAGTAAAAAAATTACGTCAGTACAAAACATGCGTCTTATTGTGCGCGCATAGTAACAATAACTAACTATTATTGTCTACCTGCTAAATAAATTGATATAAAATGTATAATTGGAGATAATAGTATTTATTTGCCTTTTTTGATATCAATCTAATTTGGAGTTTAGAGTTACATGAAACTTGTAAGTCTTTGATAGCAAATATCTTATTCATAAGAAAGAGATAGCTATTGTGTTGTCAGTTTAGTTATCACGATGTTTTATTTTGTTTATTTGTATGAGAAATTTAATTTCCGAACTAAAACAAGGGTTAATGATATACGACGATGAAATTATTAGAAAATGGAAGTTTATGTAATTACAAAATTGAATTTATATGTTATTACTCAAAAAATATAACCTTTTATTTATAACTTATGAAATAAAACAATAATAATCTTACATAGCGCTGACCACAACCAAATTAAATAAAAGAAAGAAAATCAATATATTTAATTATGTTACATAATCACATTTAAAAAATCTCATTCCGAAATTCTGAAACTCTCTTGAACTTGCAATTATTTACAAATTCCAACTTAATTAAAAAACGAAATACACAATTTTTAACCTCTGAAGTTTTCTATATAAGTGCGAATTATAAGAGTAAAAGGGATAGATATATACAAAGACAACAGAACAGAAAGAGAAAGAACCCATCAATTTCGCACCTATTTTGCCAACTTCAGGAACTGTAAAAACTGCATTTGGTCAGAGTTTTATTTTGACAGTCATAGAAATTGTGTGATGATTCTGTTAGTAACATTTATAAACAAATCACACTTAACAATTGTCTCTAATAAATTTTATTTAATAAATTTTACATACCGACAGTAAACATTTCTCCTCCCAAGCAACAAAGTGCCTTAACGTATATACATATAAGGTCTAAATCATATCATTTTGGCGGAATTTACTTGCAAATGCCAGGTTGACCAGTATTGACAGGCACCAGGTGCCAGTATCACTGCTGTGGATTGGCAGGTCTCAGTAATCTGGCCAACACATGTCGACCTCCCACTAACTTTAGTTGTTGTCCGTCCATTAATACACTACGCACGCCGCTGGACGTTGGCACTGCAGCCGTCGGTACTGCCTGTAATACAAACAGAAGTCACCAAACGCAACTAAAATACTACCTAATTATACTAACCACAGTACAACAAGCCTATTTTGACAGCTATAGAGTAAAAATTTCGAATGTCGCGTCTATCCCCGCATTGCCTTTGAGAATCAAAGATGCTAGATAAGATCAATATGAATTTGTATGGATGTTTCATCAGAGCAAACCCACAGGGAGAAGAAACAGCCTCATTAAAATAATAATTCTTAAAGTTTTTAAAAGTGATACCGGATTATAATTACGGAAATAGATTTAACTGACAGCTGTCAAAACGGGTCTATTTTTTGATAACGAAAAAATTTCACCAAATACATAAATTAAAACTAAACCTAATACCTATATTTTTAATAATCCTAATTGCATATCCTTAAATAAGTTAGTCATGCCAAAAAGCCTTAATCTTTTATCTAAAGACTTATAATTTACTAGCTTTCGCACCCGACACCGTCCGTGGAATAAAAAAAAGGAAAGTTGCCTATGTGTTCTTCCAGACTATCACCTCTATGTCTATGCGAAATTTAATTGATATCTGTTCAGCAGTTTAGGCTAAAAATTCTAATAAACATACATAAAACCTTTCGCAATTATTAATATTATTAAGAAGATATAGTCATTTTTAACCGCAGTCCGCATGCATCATTAATTATGCGACATGCTTATAAAATCATGCATTTTATTACAATAAATCAGACTGCATATGCTGTCCATGCTATGCATGCAATATAAATTCACCTGTTGTATCTTTATCCCCTGCGGTAGTCTAACAGGATGTATCTGATTTACCTATAATTTAACATTACTATTATAACAAAAATCAATCGGAAATTTCAATTATCAACCAAAATATACCTCCAGTTCACTTTATACCAATTTGTGTGTAATTCTGTTGTTAAATACTGTATAATTAAAGATTCAAAAAATACATAGAGTAGGCATATTTGACACTTCATTTGAAACATTTTTCATATAATCTCATGAATGCTGTCTATTGATAGATCCTCATGTCAATTAATTAATTGCTAATAGGTGTAATTAAATTAATAAATACTGGCTGTTGCTAGCGACCACGTCTATTTGAAATTTTAAAAATAGTCTAAGTTATTCTGCAATAACGTAGCTTTTTAATGGTGAAAGAATTTTTGAAATCGGCCTAGTAGTCTTTGAGCTATTTCAATATGTACAAAAATACAAATCTTTCCTCCTTATAATATTAGTACAGTTATATTTTATCCGTAGGCTAGGTATAATTTATTTCATAACAAAAGATGGAACTTATATTTTAAAAAAATGTTTTTTTACATGTCCATATAAGAAGTAAAGTTGGCACTAAACTTGTCAACTAGCACCTTTCAGAGAAAGTACCCGTGAGGTTATTATGCCTAGTCTATATATTTTCTTAATGTCTATGATTACCCACTATAACAAATTATTTGATATACACCATTTTATTTAAAATTTAACCGAGGACTTACCCCCTCTAAGCTTAACTAGTATTATTTCAAATAAAACAGTACCTGTTGTAATTTTAAAACTGGCGGTGAAGAGGTAGACGTTGTTACTGATTGTCCTCCTGAAATCATAGAACATAATCTATACTTCTATACTATTATAATAAAGCGTAACCACACACTTCTTTGTTGCCTAAGATGTAAGCAATTACAGCATATTTTTGAATAATTCTTTTTTAAATAAAAAACCGTACACTTACGTCACGCGTTAGGCTATATATTTTCACGCCATTAAACTTAGGCGGTAAATATTTTGGATAAAAACCATAATGTGTTAAAGAGACCATAAGTTGCTGTCAACGTCAACTAAGCAAGATTACCAAGGTTTGTCATGTCATGTCATTTTGACATTTGCTATTGATAATTTGACTAATGTAAACAATGAAATAAAAATTTGACGTTGGCGAAATCATCGAAATGACGATGGGGTCCACTAAACATTAAAAGAAGAAGAAGAAGAAAAATTTTATAATTTCATGCGGATGAAGCCGCACGAGAACAGCTAGTAAATATTATAAATGCGAAAGTCTCAATGGATGGGTGTATGTTTGTTAGCGTTTGTAGCATACACGGCTGAGCGGATCTCCATGAAATTTGGCCCAGGTTTAGAGCATAGTCTGGAAGAACACACAGACGAATTTTAATCCCGGGAATAGTTACGGTTCCCGTGGGATACATTAGTTTAGTTTTTCAATGTTTACTCCACCATTGCAACGGCTCAACATATCTTAATGAAATTTAGCACAGATATAAAACAAAGTCTATAGTATACATAAAGTTCATCCCCGAGAAATGTCCGGTTCCCGAGGGATATGTAGCTTTTTGTTATTTTTATAGTTCGTATGTTTTCTAATTCCACGCGGACGAAGTCGCGGGCAACAGCTAGTTTTACATAATTCAACAAATATGAAAACAGTCATCATATTAAAAATTGTATGTATGAATAAAACACAAGATATAATTTTATAGACTTACCAATATTACTTAGTACTATAGTCTGTGATGTCGTAGCTCCACCACTTGAAGTCATACGAATAGAGCTACCGTCACTTTGCTGGAAAAAAACACAATAAATGTAACATTACACAAACATTAATTGTTTAACACCGAGAATGTCAAGAATAGTTTTCAGAGAAAAAACTACATTTTGTAAAGCATAATATACTAATACAGCTTGTGTATACTTAATTATAGTTATACTAGCTTTCGCCTGCGACTTCACCCATGTGGAAATAAAAAAAAAACAAATGTGAGTAGCATATGTGTTGTTCCAGACTGTACTCTACATCTATACCAAATTTCATCGAAATCTGTTCAGCAGTTTAGGCTACAAACTATAACAAACATCCATCCATTTATCCATCTAAACTTCTGCATTTAAAATATTAGTATGATATGATTTAATGTAGAATACATCTTTCTGAGGCTGAAAAGATGCATCTTCCGATTCTCTAGAGAATGGCATCAAAATGTCAAAATAGCCAAAAAGTTATGTGGTGTTTGAACTTTAACAACGATATTTATGTAAGAAGTTGTGATTTTAAATTATTTCATCGTATTGTGGTCAAGCACTAGTTGAAAAATTTGCGCGACTTAGCGTGCGTGAAATCATAATAAGAAAAGCCTATGTTACTCTCTGATAATGTAGCTTCCTAATGGTGATAAAATTTTTAAATCGGTCCAGTAGTTTTTGAGTCATTTCAATACATACATAATAATTCAATATATACATATATAAATCTTTTCTCTTTATAACATTAATAAAAAATTACCTGTAAAATAATGTTGTGTAAAGGTTTAGCAGAGGTGAGTAAAAGTGGCCTCGCTAATCTCGTGGAAGGAGACAGCACGCGCACGCCGCCGCGCCCACGAATGTTGCTCATGCCCACGTTGCCCACGCTCATGTTGCCCACACTCCCCATGTTGCCCACACTCCCCATGTTGCCCATATTGGCCATTTGTAGCGCTCGCGCCCCGCCCACTACTCCTTCCAGTGATATCATTTGACCCTACAAAAGATTGCTTAATCGTAACTAAACTAATGTAATGATATTCTACAGATCAGATCCTAAATATGTTTCATTTAGCAAAGAGATTTAAAAAATATAGAGTAGACACTTCACTTGAGATCACATTATTATCACTAACGCTATCAAGTGATATCCTAAAAACCACATGTCAATATTCCTATTTAAATTAATTGTCGATAGATATTATTAAATAATATTTAAAGGCTTATATTATATTTTGAGACACTGCTCATTTTATTTTATATCAAAAGATGGAGCTTTTTATACTTTTGTAAAATGTTTTATTACATATTATTAAAAGGATATGAGGTAGCATACTAAACTTAAACACTAACAGAGTTTAGTAATTTCTTCACTATGCCTTGTCTATATATTTATCGTTTATTGTAATAAAAAGCATACAAAAAAACACAATAGGATATGACCATACCTGTGCATTAGTTAATAGCTTGGCAACAATAGGTTGTGAGGTTTTGTCACCTGATGACTGTGTTCTTACAGCTTGCGCCATTGATTTTGGTGTTTGGTTAGCTAACTGTAAAGTCTGACCACTTGCTAACTGTATGGTTTGACCACTAGATAACTGCACAGTTTGACCACTAGGCAACTGGAATGTTTGACCACTCGGCAACTGAACCGTCTGACCGCTCAACTGTACAGTTTGACCGCCAATCTGCACAGTCGGCGGTGCAAGAACACTTTGACCGGACATTTGAGCACTTTGACCACTTATTTGCACCGTTTGTACATTTCCACCCAACTGAACCGTTTGTACACTTTGGGACGGGATTACACTTTGACTTGCAACTTGAACACTTTGTCCACTTGGTAGTTTGACCGTATGTCCGGTTAATTGAACACTTTGTCCTGCGATTTGCACCGTTTGTCCTAATTGGACGGTCGACACTGGTATGAGGGGTTGGTTTGTTTGTGTGTTTGTTTTGTTTGTGGGTGTTTGTGGTCTGGGTGTCTTGTGTTGTGGGACTGGGCGCAGCTGCGGGGCCAGTTGCACAGTCTGTCCGCTGGGCAGGCGCACGCTGTGTGGGGGCAGCTGCAGCGAGGAGAGCTGCAGGGTGTGCCCCGGGGAGAGATGCACGGCCTGTCCGCCGGGCAGGTGCACCGTCTGGTTGGCGGCGAGCTGCACTGTCCTGCCCGACAGCTGCACGGTGCGGGTCGACACTGATGACGTCACCGCGGTTGGCACACTGCTCACTACTGTTGTCACGCTCGCTGACTGAAATGCATAACGTTTTTGTTTTTAACTTTAAAATTATTCAATACAAATTAATATAGCGTAGGCGTAGACACACACTTTCTTTTAATGCATATATTTCAAATTCCTTTCTTAATAAAAAAACTGTATTTAGGAATCATTTTACGCTGTGAAGCTTAGGGATGAGTAAATTTGGAAAAACTGCTCTGTGTGAAAAGGACAAAATCTATTATCCAATAGTAACAAAGAAACAACATTTCCATGATTACTTAAATTCTTAGCTTAGATATTTGCAAATGAAATAGAGTCTTTATGCTGTGCGGATGATTCCGGAAGGGAATAGTTAGTTATTAAATTGAGACAAACAGCAAATAACAAATGTATGATAAATACCTGAGTCAAAGTGGTCACAGGCGTTGTGCTCGTTGTTGTCCGTTTCTTTGTTGTTGGTGAATCTGTAAACATGTGAAATTTGTTATTAGATTGGCGACAAAAGAAAAGGACAGACTGACGATTTTTACATGTAGTTTTAATAGTGATAGAGCTTTAACATCTTTGCACTATAGGGCCGGCTCGCCCCACGCAATATCACGAACTCAGAAGACAAGTGCAGTGGAAGTAATTCTGTGTACAGTTTGATCAGTGTGCATACCGGAGGCCTTATATTAGTCGCTTTCCCTTACCACTCTTTATTAATAAAGAATGATGGGCACAGAAAGTGGATTAGACAATGGAAGAGACGCACAGGAAGGGGAAATATCAGCTTTATTTGTGTCTATGAATTAAGATTAGTCAACGCATCTGCAATTACGGATGTCTACGGACAGCGGTCAATCGCCATTTTGGCGGATTTAGGTAACCGCTTGCTCGTTTGTCACCTTATGATATTAAATAAAGTAATAAATATTATAACAGTTAATAAAACTTACTCTGAGTCATCAAGGCTTGTGGTGAGATGAGTGACTTCCCCGAGGAAGGTGTGGCTGGACTCAGTACTCTCACAACACCTCTTCTTGGCGCTGGAGTTGTCTATTAATTTTTTTTATATTAATGTTTAATTTAATTTCGCTTTTATTGATCTTTATGTAATAAAACTCTTGCACAAGTATGCTTGTTGATTTTAATTTATATTGATATACTAGCTTTTGCACGCTACTTCGTTTATGAGGAATTCCAAACAAAACTTATAGTAACATCTGTGCCAAATTTCATAAAGATCCGTTAAGCCCTTATTAGATATGTATAAAAAACATCCATCCATCCATCCAAATTATCGCATTTATATTAATTACTTTTTAAAAAAGAATAAACTGAAATGATTATTATTTAAGTTCATAGACTAATTATTTTAATAGGAATCAGAGCTTGTTTGAAAGGCAATGTTTATTAATATTATACTATAAGAGGTTTTTATGAAGTTTTTAAGTAAAAAAGTAATACCTGTGTAGGAGGCGTGTTGATAGTCAAAGTGGTAATAGTAGAGGTGGTCTGCGCCGTGGTCGAAGGCCGTATCAGAAGCGACCGCGTTACTTGCGCTACCTGCAACATAAGGGTTGTTTGCACTGTCCTAATTTAACCAAGTATGTAAAATTTTATTTTAAATTAGCTTAGGTGTTCGCGACATCTTCCGCGTGTATAATAAACAATAAAAAAAATATTGCACATGTTACTCACGATACTTATACACTTACATAAATTACCTTTTTAACGGTGAAAGAATTTTTTAAATCGGCCCAGTAGTTTTTGAGTTATTTCAATACATACAAAACTTCACTCTTTATAATATAAGTATAGATTAATAGATTAGTGTAACAATTCATATAAGTTCTAGGCTTGCGCTAGACGGGATTTAAACCCACGATGGCGATCAGCAATTCTTGACTATTAAATTATTTGAAATTAAATAGTGTAGAACCTCGATAACCTAAAAACCTCTATAACTTCAAAAATAATATGTTCCCTTCCCATCAGAGCCCAAAACTTCTACAACAAAGACCCTTGATACCTTAAAACCTCTATAACTTAAAATATTTTGTGTTTCCACTTGACTTCAACTTATCGAGGTTCTACTGTAGTCCAAGTTAAATTGATCTATAAAAGAGTACCTTGGCTTGAGTTTGTTGTACAGAAGAGACTGATGCGGGCTGGACTACAGATACCACTGTCGTATGCTGGTTGGATAAACTTGAAGAAATCTGAAACATAATCAAATAAAATCGATATAATTATATAGTCTGACTAGAAATATAAAAACACCTGTAGTAATGCCTACCAATTTGAAAAAAATCGTTTCTTTTGTAGAATAAAGAAACCGTTTGGACACTTCCAGATCAGGGTTTTGACATTTGACTACAATAATTTCTATATTATTTATGTCTTGTATCAACCCTATTGTTTATAACGATTTTTGACCAATGTTGGAAGTGGATTTTTTTTAATTTTCATTAATGGCACATATACAGCCCATATCTTTTGTTATTTCTATACCCTTCCTTTTGATGTCCTTTTTATTATTATACCCTGTATTATTCAGTGATAATGTAGGTTACGAAGGATTTATGAAATCGGTCCAGTAGTTTATAATTCTGTTCTCTTCTCTTCCAAGTCTATTCTCTTTCCATTAATTGAATTTAAATAATATTATTAATATTAAAATACTCACATTACTTTGCGATGTTTCTATTTTCTGTACAGTCTTAGTTTTAGGCGTAACAACTAGAGAAGTATAGGCCTTAGCCCCGGTTTCGTTCACTTTACTTGGTCCGCACTTCACAGCTTCGATACACTTCGCTTGATTCTGCTTCGGAGATTGCTTCGGTATCGGAACTTGCTTCGGGATTGTATTAATTTGCTTCGGCGTTTTAATTTGCGTCACTTTTTTCTGGGTTTGACTGATTTTGATGGTTTGTGTGTTCTGTTTGGGTAATGTTTGTTTGATTTGTGGTTTTTGTATATTCTTTATTTTGGGCGTTGGTAGTTTAGGTGTCTGTTTGTGTGTGAGTTGTGTGGCCTGTATGAGGAGCTGTGCGGAGGAGAGGTGGGGCGCGGGCGAGGGGCCGCTGTCGTCTACATCCACGTCGCTGTCGGATGCATTTTCTATTACTTCCTCAACGCTGGCAACCTCCATCTCCATCTGGAAACAAGTGGAGTAGTAAAATGAGAAATCTGATTTTTATAAGAATTGAAAAGTTTCAATTTTCTAATCTATACTCTTGTAAATATTTGTATTTTTATATGTACTGAAATAACTCAAAAACTACTGGTCCGATTTAAAAAAATCTTTCAACTATAAAAAGCTGCTTTATCATTGAGTAACAAAGGCTACATTTTTATTTTTTAATATTCCAGGTTAGCTTGAAAAAGCTTGTTTTAAGGCACACAAAGACAACTATAATCAAATGTGCTGGATTTAAATCTTCGACCGCTAAATCCTCTTTTACCCCAAACTATTAGGCTGTTGTCTCAATATAATTGATTGTAACGATTGATTAGATGTTAAAAGAATAATTGCATAAGAACTACTGTACCTAATTAACATTTAACTCATAAATAAACTGTAAAGTTATACTTACAGCAGTTTGCGGCGAGGTGGCGGGCGGTGCGATCGGTACAGTCTTAGCTCCGCGGCCGCGAGGACCACAGGTTTTTAACCAGTCTTCTTCACTCCTAAGGAATACAGTTTCAAATAAATACGAATACAATCATACTTGAATAAACAAGAAATTGAAGAATTACATTTTCACTCCTACAAGTTTTTCACTAATTCTTGTAACTCGCTTTGCGAAGGTTTGATTGTACAAACATAGATGTCGCGACGGAGACTTACAGACAAATATTTCGACTTTATAAAAAGAACATTACTAGATTCCGCCTGTGGCTCCGACCGAGTAACAAACAACAATATGTAGCCTATGTGTTTTTTCCAGACTATTCTCAACATCTATGCCAATTTCAACGAAATCCGTTCACCAGTTTAGGCTAAACTCTAACAAACATCAATCTAGACTTACGCATTTATAATATTAGTAAGAAGTAAGATCACCTGTTCCTATGCAGATATGTCCATACAGCACTTCTCTGGTCATATTTGACGATAGGATCTCTCTTGACAGCGAGTAATTTCTCCAACGCAGCCGACACTGCGCTTGATAGTGCTTGCTCCGTGCAAGGAGCGATCCATTGAGACATCCTATACAGGAAAACATTTATTAAATAACATATACATGTTAAAATAAAAGCCTTTTTAAATTTTGCAATCAACGTTAACATGCATACATCCTAAATAAAAAACAATATATTTATTAATTATAACAAAATTTTAATATGAAAACTAAAATGCCTGATTTTTAGAAGATATTTGCGTTGCCTATAACTAATATCACATTAAAAAAATTTTTGTCTGTCAGTCTGTGCGCAAGCCGAGTTTGTTCCGGGTAATCTCCAAAATCTGATTTCGATCGGACTTTTACTAAAGGGTTAGACGGTCATATTATAAGAGTACCTTTTTGACCGACTTCCCAAAAGAAGGAGGTACTCAATTCGTATGTATGTTTTTTTTTATCTTAATATTGCGTGTCCAAAGTCGCGGGCAACAACTAGTATGTAATATGATTAATAAAATAGTTACATTTAATGAGATAAAAAAATAATTAAAAACAACTTCTTAACGAACACAGTGGTGCGACGCATCCCTATAACTATCAAGAGTAAGAGCAGCGTATACTGTGCCGACCCCCTGCAGGTAAAAGGGTAAGTTGACGATGATGAGAATAACATAGTACGAGGACCGGAAAGCACTGTTTTTTTTATATTAACTTCAAAAGAATACATTTTTAAAAGTTTTTTTTTTTCAATCATTGAAATAATATTGAATTTTTTGGAAGCAAACAAGTCACAATAACCTTAAAAAGACTTTGCACACCTTCGAAGTACACTGAGCTGATAAAAATAAGCAAATATCGACTTGCACAGAAACACTACTTTCCACTCCCCTTAAATCATACTAATATTATAAATGCAAAACTTTTGATGGATGTTTGTTAAGAGTTTGTAGCCTAAACTGCTGAACGGATTTCGATGAAATTTGGCATAGATAGAGCTCAGTCTGGAAGAACACATAGGCTGCGCACTTTTGTTTTTTTTTTTTTAATTCAATGCGAGGTGAATCGCGTGCGAAAGCTAGTAGTAACATTACTTGAGCAGTGTGAGGAGGTCTGTGCGCGTGCCCTGTCCGTTGGGCAGGCGGGCGAGCGCGTCCCGCAGTAGCGCGCCGAACGTCGCGCCGCGCGGCCGCGTCGCGCACACCAGCGCGCCAGTTGCGCCGCCGCCCGCGCACCGCGCTATCGGCCCCACCACAGACCTGTAACTGCAATACAACGAACATTGCAATATACCGCACTGACGCTACCAATGACAAATTAAAAATACATTCCGTAATAGGCAATATGCATGTATTTTTTCCTTTTTTAAACGATTCTACTTGTTATAAAATAACCAGAAAAAAAATTGACTCGAAAATATTCAACCATTGAGCTAAAAGTAATAAAATCGAATTACGACCATTTTCGAGCGACTAAAACGCGATCGGAGTTGTCATGAGACAATTGACGTCAATCGTCATATTCCATGCATGCCTATTAGGCAATATGCATATTACGCCAAATTGTACCAAACTTTTTTTAAGTATACTTTATTACTATAAAAACATTCCTGCAAAGATTTTTTTAAATACAATGTGATTTAGTTGCAAAATTTAATAATTAAAAAGTGTCTTTTTTTCGAATTCCCTTGCTAAGTTCTAAAACGCACACTTTTGGTCGAAACAAGTGGCTTATCTAATATGATGTCGCTGTATTATCAATATACATCATTTACGTTAGTTTATATAGAAATACACTCTTTAAGTATTTTACTGTAAACACTAGGAAAGTCTAACATTTTTAAGAACCACTGATCTGTATAAATGGACAGGAGATTGTCTGAAAATTACAGATTTTGCTTTATTCCGACTAAGGCCGCGATCTTATCTAAGTAATATTATAAATGCCAATATTTAGATGAATGGATAAATGTTTATTAGAAGGTATATGGAACGGCTTAACGGATTTTGAATAAAAGCCACAGATGTGGAACATACACTGTGAAAGTACACATTAGCTACTTACTGAAATGTATAATTTCGAAAACTAGTACAATAAAAACTAATAGTACTTACCCATACTGCACATAAGTGAAGGGTTTGGTAGCAGAAGCGAATCTTTTCCTCTCTTGTATTCTGAAGTCTGCGATCTCTCCGGGCGTGGGCGCGCGCACTGTCCAAGACGTCGGGTATCTGGAAAGACTTTGATCGTATTAATTGGTTAAAATGTTGAAAAACATATCAACAATTATAAAAAAAAACTGAAACTGTATTGTGAAATTGCTAATAAAAATGTTGTTTTGTCACTGTTAATTATATAGCTCGTAGATATTTTTCATAAGCTTTTTATATCTTAAAACAATTCTAAAACATCTAAATTAATACTAAAAAGTGCATGTAAATTCACTAAAGCCGCAGATAAAACAGAATTCCGGTAATTTCTAAAATTCCAGTGTTAACATTTGTTTATAAAATCGCAATAATGTACATTTTTGAGCATACATATACAAATATACATACTCTTACCATAATTCCAAGGTGCATTTATTTCAAAAGATTAATTGTGATATATGGATATGATAAATGGAACTAAAGAACAATTTATAATGAACAAAATATTACCAAAGGATAATTGAGATTATAAAACCTCAAAAATGATGTGTCAATTTGTATAAAAGCACTGCAAATTTAAAAAAAAATCTAAAAGCAATTTAATAAGTAGCAAAAAACAAATAAAAACGTGATCTATACATAATTTAAATTTCCAATTAAATTAATCTAAATTAATTATATACAATAGTGTTTAGCTTAGCCTGACCACACCAAAGCAATGTTGTCAGCGACAATACTTTCAAATTAAATCCATTAATTTTTCTATTAAAAACTTGAATTTTTTCAAACTGTATAATTTGCTTATGTATGTATCAGTAGTGACTTAGCTTAGCCTGACCACGAACGAGAGAAATGTTATAAACGACATTACTTTCAAATAGATATGGAAGTCTCTTTGTCCTTAGCAAACTAACAGTATTATTTCAAGCTGTATATAAGGTTTAATTGCGTATGCAGTGAAAAGCTGTAAGTGTCAGTAATTGCTGACCTGGGCGGGGGCGGGTGCGCGGCGTGGTGCGGCGCGGCGGCGCGCAGCCAGCGCTCGCACAGCCGGCCCAGGATCGCGTCACAATCACGACCCGCACCTATCCACTGGTACGTCTGGGAACAATACTTATCTCACTATCATACTAGTCATACTTAATATTATAAATGAAAGTTTAGATTGAATGGATGTTTGTGAAAGTTTGTAACTTAAACTGCTGAACAGATTTTGATGAAATTTACTTTTTTTTAATTACACGCTAACGGAGTCGCCGGCGAAAGGTTGTTAATACAGATACATACTTAATGCTTAAAGAGTGTGTACAGCGGATTTAGGCCAGTTTTATTTAGTGGCGGTGTTTCTGTAGTTTACAGTTTTTTATATAGTGAATATGTAATATTTCAGTGACCATTTACCAAAAAGCGGCTCGGGGCATACTAGAAACTAACATAACATTTCTAATACGAAAACATATCAAGCACAATGTCTTACAAGTACACTGAATGTCATAAAATTAAAACTAATCGTCATGCACTATTTTGAATGTACTTTAAAAAAAAAATAAACAATGAATTGCATACAACTTTTCTGTTCGGATTGTTGAAGCTACATTTCTTAGAAATAAAAAAGTTACAGGCATTGAAAATCGTACATGACCACTGATTCGATTGTTTTTCTGTCAAATTTATGGTAAAAATATATGCAACTGACCTGTGACTCTGGTATAAACTGTAAATATGGTACAAAATCATCAGGATGTGGTCCCCTCTGCCCGGCGAGGAAGTCCAATGCTGAATTGAGCTCAGCACACCAGTCGTCAGATACTTTAAACATTAATTCTTCAATTAAGAAAACAAAAATTATTAATGCAATCCACAATTGTATCTACATTATCTATCACTTTGTTGTATATTACTATAAAATTTGTAAATTTTCGTCACGCTGTAACTAATTCTAATAAAAACAAGTATGAAATTATTAACAACATAATTTCCCAATATCGTTTTTCAACTGTCATCTTCTACAGTCTTAAACTTTGTTTATTTCTGACAAAATGTATGTTAAAGCAATTTTATTTTGAAAATGCAAATACAAATATTATCTCTAAATATACAAATCTACAAGGCACCAAGCCCCTCAGTGGGGACATAGTTAGCTGGTGATGATATTGGTAATATGGATCTTATTAACATAATAAATGCGAAAGTTTAGACGGAAGGATGTTTGTTAGAGCTATAAGCCTAAATTGGTCAACAGATCTTGATGAAATTCGGCATAGATGTAGAGGATAATCTGTAAGAACACATAGGCTACTCTCTTTTATTTTTTTTCAATTAGTAGCGGGCGAAAGCTATTTTTTAATCAAATTTTTATATAACAAGAAGCCGAGACTACAATTCCAAATGGAATTTAATGAAGTTTATTTATTTAGTTTTATTCTAAAAACACTTGCTTATAATATCTATAATACTCAAAACTTACAATTGTACCAAGTATTAAGCGGAGCTATTGGAGATCTCATGACAGTCGCACATCTTGCTTGTAACTGCTGTTTGGAGGCTCTATGTGCCGCTTTAGCCGGGAACAGACCACGGACTAATGACAGGAAGTTAGCATGTGTGGTCTCCGTCAGTTCATCTGCATCTACATTGTCCTCGTTAGTCTCTGTCGATGTATCCACTGGTAAAACTTCCCCGGATTCATCTGCTAACTCTATAGGTAGTGCCATCATGTCTAAAATTTTATTTATTTAATTTATAGATATAGACTACATATAGATATATAATTTATAGATTATAGAGAATATATAGACAAAGTGCTGTGTAATGATTGATTTTTTTTACGTATTTTTATATTCTTACAAGTTAAATGCTTTTAGTACTAATATATTTATATTGTGCTTATTTTATACTTTGGTATATTTCTTAATTTAGTCATCAACAGTAAGTTAGCAACCATACTTATTAATATAAACCTTAACCAACCAAAACCAATATAAAGATTAACCAATGACATTGGTTCTTCTCATATACACTTTAAAACACTAGATTAAAATGAAGTTATGTATAATTGAATGAAATAGAAATGAGAAATAATATTGACACATTTAACTTGTTGATGTTTGTATTTCATTGTCTATGGATTTATTTTGGAAAGTTAAGTTTTCAAATTATACAAACATGTCTATTTTAACAAGTCTGTGATTTTAGTCATAAAAGGGTAAATTGATTTATAATAGTTTTGTATGTATATAATACATTAAATTAATAAACTCTAAGATAAATGTACATTGACTTACCAATTCCATCTAAATCTTCTAATTTTATAGGCACTGGTTGTAACACTTTTGAATTTTGTGTTGAACTAGCATAATCCATTGGTTCTTGTTTTATTTCCAATGTTGAATCACTGAAGTTTGTACTAAAGAAATGAGAAAAACGGACATAACATCATACAGGAAACCATGTATTTAACAAACAACATATAATACTAACTTTGTATAATTGGGATATTTATTGTCAACATTTTCTTGTTTGATTTCCGATTGATCCAATAATTTCTTAGTAAACTTTGGACTTGCAACGGGATCTAGGAATGATGAACTTTCAGAGTCCGACTCCTCTGGTTCACATTTAATTTTAATATTTGGCAACAATGGTTTATTTTCAACACTATCTTGATCTTCTTTAGACTTTTTGATCGCAGATTTCAATTCTGCTTTTGAAGCTTTTTGGTTTAACTCTTTTTTAGTACCTTTACGTAACTTATTTATAGGACTTTCTGTTTTAGCACCACCAAACATAAGTTTCTTTGTTCCATTCATCATTGCTACTCTCTGTTTAATATCTTCTAATGTTATACCTGCAGTATTAAGTTCTGGATGGTTCTGTAATTGTTAATTATTAATTATTTCCAGCAACAAACAATAATTTTGATATAATAATAGTGTTTTTTTACTTCTCTGTACTGCCTTCTTGAGCGGTGAGTTGACAAAACTTTCTTTAAACATTCTAGAGATGTTAAATGTGCAGGATCTGACCCACCAAGTGTTCCAGATACATTGTTATCTACTTGCTAAAAATAAATAAACACTTATGAAAGTATCCTGGACATGTTAAAAATATAGCTGATTTATTAAATTGATTTCATTATCGGTGAAAATGCAAGATATTGGAATAAAAACAATGTATATCAACATTTTTATATGTATTTAACGTTTCTTTCTAAATTTCCTCACGCATTTCCTTAATGTTTAGTAATCTTATTAGAATAGTAAAGTTAACAAAGATTCATGTTTACATAAATATATGTGGGCCTATTTGATTGGTTTCAAATTTGTTTTTAATGAACCATTAACAGTAACAAAGAAATTCTGATTTTTAGAGGTCTATGTACAGACATACAGACAAAAGTGTCAAGTAATAAAATTATACTAACATTTATAATATTAATAATGCACAAGAAATTACCTGTCCAGTTGCTGACTGTTTCTTCTTTTTCACCAATCGTTCAGGAGCACCTTCAGGGTAATTCTGATCCTCGGAGTCCTCACCTCCAACCTCACCCCAAATAGCAGCTAACTCTTCAAAGTATCTTTGTTTCACTCTCATGTATAATGGTTTATATTTATTTTTGCTTGAAGCTTTGGGAGCTAGAGCTGGTAGCCTTGGTACAGGACCCGGAGGTGCCCCTTTAACAGCTGCTAACAACCGTTCCCGAGAGATTAACAATTCCGGTAAGAGTTTAGCATAGTATGATTTATTCTAGAACATATCAAAAGACAAAAGTTTTAATATAGGCACAATAAGTTGAGAACAAAACTGAGTAAGTCATAAATCTACCTTTTGCTTTTGTTGTTTTGCTCTAGCTTTCTTTAGAAACTTCCTCATTCTAGCTATATCTGGTCGGTAGTTACCTTGTCTTAAATTGTTATAAAAGTTGCTAAGTGGTGATGTGAAATGAAATGGTTCATAGTTAAATAACATTTTCAATGTTTTCTCATTCTCATCCTCTTGATCATCTTTAAATTGAGGCAACAATTTTGTAAGCTCTTCTTTATGTTTGTCTTCCAGGCTATCCCAAGTTTTCATGGAAAAAAACTCTTTAAAGATACCATAATCTTCACAAAGCTCCTGTGGCAACTCTAAAGTGTGGCCTAAGATACTAACTGGCTCCAATAACTCCTCGTCACAATCTGAACTTCCACTTGAACTGTCGGAAGAACTACTAGTACTAGAATCGCTACTATAACTTTGTTCACTTTCCATCTTTTCCTCCGTATCTTCGACCTTGTCAGACATTTGGAGAAACTTTTAATTGGCCGTAATCAAAATAACAAAACCTGTTAGTGTAAATTACCTTATTTTCACTGTAACATTGATATATTCTCTTGTTTTGCTGGTCTTGTTTACAAAAAGTATACGCAATTGTAAACCATTTGGTAGCGAGAAGCCATGAAGGTTTTTGAATTAATGTCAAGTTTCGTCTAAAATAAAATATAACGCACTAGACAATCTGCGGCGTTTCATACATAGTATGCGCCAGAACGGCACATTGCGATGAGAAAATAGCTTGACAACCAAAATCAGCGACATTTTGCCATTTCAAAATAGAATTTTAAAACAAAACACGTCTTGTCTATGTTCATTACGATATTTTTGATTTTACCATTATCTATGGGAATCATAGATGAGGTGCTGGTTTAACCATTTTTGTTAAAAAGTTAAAAACTGTGTTGATTTTTTGTAACATTCTTGTTAGCTAACACTTTACTGTTTCATTTATTTGTATTCTACCGTAACCTGAGAAATTAACAGTGAACTTGGAATGAACTACAAACCAAATAGAAAACTTGGAAGATGCTAGCAAAATATATTCACAATGCATTATTGTCATGGTTCAAGACTTTAAAGAAGTGTAAAATGTTACGATGTAAAGCTCATTTCATTTATTTAAGTTTTTTAAATGACCCGCGGTGTTGGGATACTTTAGTACTTTAATTTCTCCAGTTTCAAGTTTCCCGCAGTTTTCCATTTCAAAACTAAGTTATCTATGGTCTTGATTGTAGCTGTATTTTTATCTGTGGCATTTACATTATTTGCGTGATGGTGTACGGTTTGACTTTTTGTTTGACGTAAATTAATCGTGGTGTAGTAAATATGGCTGACGAACTCAATGTTGACAGTCTTATTCACAGACTTTTAGAAGGTATTTTTTCAGTATTTACTAATTAGTTTGATCTTATATATTTATTTCACTCTTAAATTTAATATAACAACAATTTTTGTAATGTTTCTTGTTTTCTAGTTGCGTAATTATCACACAGTGCATAGGAATAGAAACGTCAAACTCATAAATAAATCGATTATCTTAAATTCTTATCAGAAATTAGTTTTATAAATAATACCTTAAACATAATAGAAACATTTATTTACATATAATAAATAGATCACACACTAAAATAATTCGATGTTTATAATGCGAAGAAACAAGTTACTTCAGTATTAATCACGCCAGGTTTCATGGCATCTAACAACTTCATGTGCTTATTGTTACGCTTTGTTCGCATTATACCTTACTTTACTTCTTAATTTCACTTTATCATGCTGCTTTTTATGGGTTACGACAGTATACACACTGCAACAGGAAACAGCAAGGCGAAAAGGGAAATTGAAAGACATCTTTTCGGGAGAATGTATGGTTAAACCCTAAATATTTTTCAAAGTATTGAGCTAGATTCGTTCAAGTTTATTTAATGCCCCATTGCCCTAATAATTTGCTCCATAAACATTTCAACCTTGTAATTTGACAACCTTAGAAAATGACAAATGTTCATAAACCTTAACATTTATGAATTTCGTTGATATAAGTGAAATTAATGAGAAAATGCTTCATAGAGTTGTTGCAAATTGTAACTGCTGCATAGAATTATAGCTTCTTAACATATCATAATATCAAGGTCAAATAATACTTTAAAAAATTATGGGTCTTTTGAAATTTTTTTGAGTTCTTTCTTTTTGAGTTTACCATGGAACAGTTTAGACATACCAAAATTCCCAAACTCAGAAAGTTTAAGAAATAAGAGAGTATTCACCGAAGTACTTGCTATATCACTATCCATTTTTTATTTTTATTTTTGGCATGTATAGATCATGCAGTTTATAGTAACTTCAGGAATGCCTGTGCTGTACCATTTTGTAACAATTTCCGCTGTTTCACCTTTCAAATTGTGTTCCTAAGACAACATGTTATGTAATTTTTTTACATTACTGCACCTTTTATTGCTTAATGAAAAAGTATGATAGAACTAAGAAGACAGCTTTATCACTCTAATTACTATTCATAAGAATCATTTCATATTATCAAGCCATGTGATGAATTACATTTCTTTACTGGTAAAAAAATTTCAGCTCTGAAGAACTATGTATATAGTGGGCTTAAGACTTTTCATTGCATGAATTGTTCCTTGTTATTGGCTTTTCATTTCATTTTTTAGTACAGCTGTGTTTTTGGAATCACTAACAAGATACTAAAATACTTAGTTTAATATACACAAATTATTGCTCCAGTTCGAGGATGCAGGCCAGGGAAGACTGTGCAGATGTCGGAATCGGAGGTGCGCGGTCTCTGCACCAAGTCGAGGGAGATATTTCTTCAGCAACCAATATTACTGGAGCTGGAGGCACCATTGAAAATTTGTGGTAATTATAATTTATTAACTTTATTGCAAACTTTTATATAAAGGAACTTCATAAACTGAAATCTCTGCCATTTCATGTAATGTTGTAATAGGGCAATGGTTTCCAACTGTGGTCTACAGAAGCTAAAACATGGTCCATGAAAGATTTTAAATCCCAGTTATAGGGTTATTAATCAAGAGTTATTACTAAATAAAATTTATATATTATATTTGAGTTTATGATCTCAACATGATGTATGAAGTTCTCAAACATGAAGTTGTTCACAGTACAAATGTCGAACATGATAATCAAGATAATTAATAATGTAAATATTGCTGCCCAAGTTGTGATATCTCATAAGCTGAGTTTGGCAAACAAAATCCTTTACATTAGTTATTTATTCATTGAAATATTATTGTATGCAATGTGAGACATCCTTAAGGTGTGTTTAATGTAAAGGAATTTTAATTTTTAGTTCTGTCTATTAATGCGTCACGTCTAAATGCTGAAGGTCATCTGCGCGTTACGCAGTGTCCTTTCCTTGCACCCAATTACGACCCTATATAAAATGTTATGTTCTGCACAGTGACTCATACAAAATTCCAAGCTGCTAAGATATTTGAAAACGTTTCATAAGTATTTTTGGCGCATTTCTAGCACAAATCTTCTAATCCACATTTATATATCAATGCATTACTTGTCATTCTCAATATTTTTACTACATTTGCAGGTGATATTCATGGACAGTACACAGATTTGCTGCGTCTCTTCGAATATGGCGGATTTCCACCGGAAGCCAATTATTTATTTTTAGGCGATTACGTTGATCGTGGGAAACAATCACTTGAGACCATATGCCTTCTGCTTGCATACAAAATAAAATATCCAGAAAACTTCTTTCTGCTGCGAGGCAATCATGAATGTGCGAGTATAAACCGTATTTATGGTTAGTATATTCTACCTTGTTATACTGATCTTAAAAAATGATAAGAGTAATTCTTGTTATAAATTACTTCTATGACTCAGTAAAACATGCCAGTTTCTATGTCCAATTGAAACAGAAATTCCGTAGTTAATAATGTTAACAATTAAAATTCAATTCCAGTTGGTTATCAATTCTTTTTGCTGTTGTACTCATTTATTTACTGATAAAGAGTGTTAAAACAGGTAGCTAATGTAATATACCATTTGTGACACTACTTTTCAATTCACCATTGATAATAATTATTGATAAAGATTTGCTATAGAAAATGTATGAAAACTGTTTTATGACAGGTTTCTATGATGAATGCAAACGCCGTTACAACATAAAGCTGTGGAAGACATTCACGGATTGCTTCAACTGTCTGCCGATAGCAGCCATCATTGATGAGAAGATATTCTGCTGCCATGGCGGCCTCTCGCCCGATCTTCAGGGCATGGAGCAGATCAGACGGATAATGAGACCTACAGATGTCCCTGATACAGGTTCATTTTTTTTATAAGAAAGTTGTACTTAATTGTGTTGCAAGTTCCTTCCATTCTATAATTAAAATATGTGACCTTATTTCTCTATAGTTTAAGCCAATTGTGAATATCATTTCTTTTATTGCTTTTTGGTTTAAAAACTATGAAAGAATGAATATTATCGTCGACTTCATCACCACATTAAATAAAATTAAGTAGCTAACTAGCTGCTAGTGTGTCACTCCAAAATAATAATAATAAAATGTGTTCTTCGAGATTATGCTCTACATCTGTGCTAAATTTTATTGAGATAGTGTTATCCATTCCGGAGATACTTAGTAACAAACACCCAACCAAACTTTAACATACTTTATTTACATTAAGTATGAAGTGTGATTATGTGTATATCCAATAGTGTACTGGACGATAGTTGTAGGGAATAATCTCTTAGCAGAACTGTAATCTGGATATAATATGAATGTGTTGAATACATTTATTCAATTATAGGATTTACTAGGGATTCAATATAAGTGCTGATGAGTTAATGAAATACACTAGAAGTATCAGTATATAAGTATATTACATAACTGTAAATAAGCAATAAATTATATTTTTTCAATTTATTGCATCATTCTTAGTCTTATGTTATGATGTCATGGTGATGAAATATTTTTTTAAATTGAAATAGCGTGGTTATGAATAATGTCTTTGTTTAAGGTTATGATGTAATTTTTTACAAATTATAAGAGTGGTGCTAATATTTGAACAATAAGAAAATCTTTAAAATTAGAGTAATTTATTCATTTACATGATATAAGTCAGATTCTTTGTTCCAAAATTATTCTATTGTGAATAGAAATATTGAACATAGAAGTAAATAATTTTTAAATGCATTATATCACCCAATATGAAGATTGATTTTATACCATAGCATAATTTTACTTTTATTTGTACTTTAATAGGGAATATTGATTTTATTTTTCCGTTATAAATAACTTAGTAGCCAATGTGTCTTCCAAACTATGTTCAATATGTGTGACGAATTTCATATAGATCTGTGAAGCCATTCTTAAGATAGTTAGAAAGAAACTTTCATCTATATAAATTTTCGCCGTTATAATAGTAAAAAGATTGAAATTCCATTGGGTTATTGTATTTTAAATGATAGTGTGTAATTGCAGGTCTGCTGTGCGACCTGCTGTGGTCGGACCCCGACAAGGACGTGCAGGGCTGGGGCGAGAACGACCGCGGCGTGTCCTTCACCTTCGGCCCCGACGTCGTCAGCAAGTTCCTCAACAGACATGATTTGGATTTGATCTGCAGAGCTCATCAGGTACACTTATTACTATTACTTACTTATTTATTTAAAAAACCAACAGCGTACACATATAAAAACATTTTACATCTAGTATTGTGTGATAATAAATCCAATGACAGGTTTTTATTTAATCTTAACAGTAAAAGTATAATATAATGCAATAATAAAGAGAGAAAGATAGAAAAGAAAATTGATTTATAATAGACTTAGTTAAACTCTTTTTATACTCGTTTTCAATTTTTGTTACAAAAATGCCTTATTTCTTTTCTACACTATAATATTATAAAGAGGAAATGTGTTTTTGTATGTATTGAAATAACTCAAAACTACTGAGCTGATTTCAAAAATTATTTAACTGTTAAAAAGCTATGTTCTTAATGAATAACATAAGCTAAACCTTTTTTATAATTATATCAATTTTACGTGGGCGAAGTCGCGAGCAACAGCTAGTTTGTGTTTCCGGTCAGAGTAAAGAACAGTATTTAATATGTTTGTTATACAGGTGGTGGAGGACGGCTACGAGTTCTTCGCGAAGCGCCAGCTGGTGACGCTGTTCTCTGCGCCCAACTACTGCGGCGAGTTCGACAACGCCGGCGGCATGATGTCCGTTGACGAGACTCTCATGTGCTCTTTCCAGGTAAAACATACTATTTTATGGATAAATTTAATTAAAATAGTAGTAGTTGATTTTATATAATCATAATGAAATAGCTGTTGAATTAAAAAGAAGTATCCTTAATATTCCTGTGAGCGTCAGCTACTATCAAGGCAGTCAGGCAGGCAGTATTAATTTTTTACGTGAATTTCATCATGTCTTAATAAGTTAGTAGTAACATATTTGAACGGCGTGCAGATATTGAAGCCGTCTGAGAAGAAGGCGAAGTACCAGTACAACGGCATCAACAGCGGGCGGCCGGCCACGCCGCAGCGCTCGCCGCCCAAGAAGAAATAACTCACGTTTGGCATCCAGTGTGCTGTGCAGTGACAATGATACATACGTTTCATTATCTATTTTATTATATGTTTAACGTAGTCCACAAGGCCGGATAAAACATCATTACAAACAAATTATTTATCAATTTGCTTGTGCCTTCTTATTTTTATTTTGTAATGTAGCGAGTGATATTTACAGATTTAGTTAACAGTGTGATGTTTTATTCGGCGATGGTTTCAGACTACAGCTTTTTCGATCCCCGAATGTTAGCTTCCATCGGATGCGAGTTGAGTTGACACTATTGATGTTTTAGACAAATTGTTATGTTGTTGAACTTAGGATAGTTCCGAAGGTTGCATTGGACATGAAGCCACATTAAATATATTATGTTTAAGTTGTAGTGGAATCAAAGCGCTCCGCTTTGTCTATCATTGTGTAACTAAAGTGCCTACGACTGTAAAGTATATAGGACTCGTAAGTAACGATGATTGGTTCGATTAAAAATTTTAGTTCAATAAAATTAAGAATTGCCTTCCTTTCGAAAATTTAGTCATATGTTTTGTTTAGTGTTAATTTTATTTATTTCAAAAAGGAACTTGTTTTGGAGCTGGCCTAAGTAAAGCCTTCATCGGAGATAGCTGGACCTTATTAGGATTTCATTGCAGCTCTTATTATTCAGCGGGTGTGCCGATGCTCCCAGTGAAATTAATGTTAATTTGCACTCAGTATTAATTTGAATATGAAATAAGTAGATTGGATAAATTGGCAAGTAGCCGGCCCACTGAGGCTACCTTCATGTAGTAGGTCTCCGAGTGTCAGCGGATGCAAGGTTAGAAGTGTAGTCCTCGCAACAATAGTGCAATTGCTGTCTTACGATTATATTTAAATTATATGCAGTTTTGCATTGTACAATTTTAATTATTAGCTATAGCTAATTTTAATATATTACTTATAATATATTAAAATATCAATATTCAATAAATATTGCTAATTAAAATAAGAAGTTTATTTTTGTTTTTCTTTTTTCATTTAGATTTGCATTTATGGAGATATTTCTACTTGTTTTTGCATACAAATTATAACATTACTAATAAAATCTTGAGAATACTTTTCATTATTTCGAAATCACAGTTTGCTATTTTTAATTTTGCTTTTTAAATGTATGAATTCAAAGTTTATTCTCGTTTTTGTCTACTTGTAAGCTATTAACTAGTAACTTGTGCTGAAATTAGATTTATGTGATTTCACTTTATTATTACACTTAAAGTTATTATTCTCTATTTTCATCTACACTTATAAATGAATAGTTTCAAACATTATTGAGTTTAATATACTTAGAATATAAATTTTTTGTTGTAATTTTCTCAGGTGTGTACAATTTTCTGAAATATAAATTTTACTCAATATTTGTTGATGTCATTTATTTATAGATCCTTCATAAATTCTTCTGTAGACCAACTGCCGTCATCCACATTACTTCTTACAGGAACTATTAAATTTACAAGATTCTTGTGGTTTTCAACTTTTTCCCTGCATTTGTCAACAAGCTCATCATTTTTATTTTGATATTTGCTAATGTCCATTTCCATGGCTCTTAAATACCCTCTTTTGGCTGTAATCACTCTTTTTAACCTGTGTATTCTTGCCTCATATTCCTTAGCTAAAGACTCGAGCCATGTTTTTTGTTGTTTCAAGTTAACCATCTCTGCAGCCTTTAACTGATTGACAATGTTATTACTTTTTGGTCTCCTAAAAAGAAGAAAAAGAAATCAAATAAGGCTGGCTACATTACTATTGCACCACTTAGTTACAAAATGAGCAGTGTTTTGTTTGTAGAACAAGCAGTTTTCATATTTTTTATTATGGGACCTGTAATTATTAGGGTAAAAATTGAGTGATGGCTGAATAGAAATAAAGTTATAAATTATACTCTTTAAAATATCAAAATTGCTTAACTTTGGAAGGTTTATCTTGTTTTCTAAACAATATTATTTAAAACTGCCTATATAACAGATGTTTGATATAGTTTGTATGGGTTCGCCACATGAAACAATAAAGGTGCACACAGATGCATCTGCAGTCAGCAACGCTGGTGCCTAGACTTGACTCATTGACACCGAATTAGACTAGGCACAGGCGGCGAGATGGGCATCATGCTGGTAAGTACCACTATATCCACCACATTGGTTAACAATATGATGCCCTAATCTGTAAACTAGGTATAATCATTAGTACATACCATGCTTCTTTATCTGGATTTAATATAGCAAACTTTTCCTTTTGTAGCTCTAAAATTTGTAATTTCTTTGTCATATTCTCAAACTGCCACATGGTACTCAACTCTTGGATCATTTCATCAAATATTCCTTGTTTTAAATAGTTAAACATTGGTACCCATTTTACTCGTTTCAGTTTTGCTTTTGGCACTGTTTGGAGAAAGTCTTCGTCCCTTAAATAACAAAAAAATATATAGCACTAAAGTATACTACGCATGTAGAATATTAAATAAATGAAATATTCGTACTTCACCAAGTTCGATATATTACTGAATTCCTTAAGAATTGTGAAGTTATCAAACGTAACTTCTGAATTATTCATAGTAGGTTCATTCACTTGATCTTCTACCTGTTCACCCATTTTAGTCCACAGAGAAAATTGTAAACAAATATGTATTAGAAACAAATACGAAAATTATATTCTATTTGTTGGAAGTACAAAAGCATAACAAACGCAACACACAATTTAAAACTTAACGTCACCTACTGTCAGTTTTGATTTCTGATCTGCATTATTGCCAGTTACGCATTAAGATTACGCTATTTAATCTAATAATTTTTAACATCTGTTTTTGTATAGCTCCTTTTGTTTTACTCTTTCTAAAGAGAATAATTGTTATAGAAATCAACTTATAATTTTATCACTGCCCGTAATTTTCGTTCCTTCATTGTCAACTGTTTTATGGTAGTGACATCACTCAAATTTATACATAATTATTCCTTAATAAGTATTTTATTTAAAAATAACATTGTCTCTTAGTTACTTTTGTTATTGCATATTTGACAATGGAATAAATCTTTTTTCGATTTTACTTTTTTTATTGGAAAATGTTCTAATGATAGCAACATTATGTTTTATTGTCAATGTCAACTACCAAAGTATATATAAATAACTAAATGACAAAGAAAAAGTAAAAATTACGTATTTTACTTCACATGCCAACCGACTTAAAACTTGAAAATCTTACCATAAACTAATACATAGGTCTCTTTTCCGCCACAACGTCGGCTGGCGTCGCCCATAAATATAGATTTTGTATTTATTAAACAAGTTAGAATTTCTTAGATGTAACTCGTCAATTTTAGGGCAAAGGAAAACATCGTGATGTAACCTGTAGATATCTGCGAAGAAATTCGAAGATGTACTGACCCGCACTAGGCCAGCGTGGTCGAATAAACTCTATTCCTCTAACTTAGGGTAGGTTCAGAGCCCCTCATGGGGACGTATAGTGAGCTGATGATGATGAGGTAAGAACTTAGAAGCATCACCTAGTTTGCACGTGTGCTGATTCATTTCTAGGTCATCATTTAATAGTTGTACTCTGGTTAAAGCAACGTAGCCTAATTTTCAAATTAAAAAAAAACCTTCATTTATTTAACCTTTGATTGGTTTAAAAAAGTTACTGAGCACTTCATAGTTTAGTAGTCGTTAATCTTATTCGTAATTTGAAACTTTACGTAAATAAAACACATTCCCTTATGTGGTTTTAATTTTTTTTATTTAATTTATTTGTTGTATACATAAAAATGTTTATAAGTAATAAAACAATTAATTTAATAACAAAGTTGTTTGTGGCAGTGACTATGTCACACAGTCTTTGCGATATTCACCGAAGCGGATCCCGGACATCTTCATATCGATTAAATTCGTCGAAGCTTATCTGTGGTTTTATATTTTACATAGTCAAAGAGCATTTTATTGAAGATAATAATACGTAACTTATATACCGTGTGCGATGTCGATCCTTTAGAAAGCAGCGGCTGTAAAGAAGATTGCATCACTTTGAAATATAACCTTATTATACACATTGGCATACAAATTTATTTTACTTATACTTTATATTATTGGTTAGTTTTGTAATGGTTTAGATTAATTTAAAAATCACCAGAGCCGTATACAATTAAAAAAAAGTATACAGATTATACAGTCAAACAGAAATACGCCAAAAAGTCTATTAAACTGTGGGTAAGTGAGAAAAAGGTGCGGAAGGGCAAGACCTGCATTCAATATGCCAGTACTCGACACGTGGAAAAAGCATTCTTTTTTCAAGATATTCAGTGTACGAGATGAACCATAGATTTAACAAAAAAGTTAGATTAGAAAAAATGCAAAAATATACCGAGAATCGTTAACTAATCAACCATATTTGTGTTGCAATTTTTTTAACAAATATTTTGGCGCTCAATCATAATATCAATATTAAAAATTATTCTAGTATGTCTTCGTTATACTTTTTCTGAAAAAATAAATCTATGGCTTCAATAAACTGAGGAATCTACAAGTACAATGGAACAAATGGATCTAAAAACATCTTGCGGAGCATGATATATTAAATAAGAAATCTAAACGAAATGTGCTGTTATGAAATGAATACAGTTAAATAATTTGTTATGTCACCACAAATAACATCTGTTCTTGAAGGACAACTTTTCATCGGGAACATTCAATTCTTAGCCAATCTGTATAGGTAATATTATGTACGAACAAACTACGATATCCGACGCATACCTACTGCCGATAAGATGTTGCTATTTTATAGACTACGTATGAAAGGCATAGTCTCACTTATATCACCAACTGTGAATGCATCTGCCACCATTAAATCTGTCATGACCAGAGATATGAAATTAGAAAATTATTAAACTCCCACAATAAACTGTTAGATGTTGTATAGCTGTTGATAGTTAAATTTCGTCCATTAATCGCAGGCCAATTTGTACAGCTTGAACAACAAAAGCTGTGACTGTATTTACAGCGACCTACTAACCTAAGGGCCTGATCGGATGCTTGTCCCAGAGAAAGGTGCGTTTGACGGGCGACAGGTAGGAGTCGCGGATGTATGAGGGGCTGCGGTCCCATCTGGCGAGCGGCTTCAGCAACGGCCAGTCGTACCAGAAGGGGTCTCGAGTTATCGCCGAGATCGGCAGCGAGGGGCTCGGGTTGAAAATGTCAGCCCAGGGGCGCCGCAGGCCACCGGCGTTGTACAACGGAGCACCTACACCCCACAACAATTAATGGCGGACACACACACCTCTGCCTCTGTACCTCGTCAGTGTCCTCTGCTCAGTGTTAACCGTAAAGCGTTCTGTGCAATACAAACTCTCACACGTGATGGATGAAACGTTACTTGATGTTTTAGATTTTATTATGTTTGACTATTTCCAATTACACGGTAACAAGGAATTTAGCGTTAAATGAGACTGGAACAATCTTCATTTCCTTCTACCTACATAGATACGTATTATGTAGTTGCATTTAGATTTTATTTAAGTAACGTTTCAGCATTTTTTAACATTCTAAAAGATGTAAGTGTAAGTGGTGAATCTATATATAAAAATATGTTTTTAGAATAATATGAAGTCATACATACATATTGTGATCATTCGACGATGTATTTTCTATTAGATAAGTTATTCATTATTTAATAATATATTACTGAACTTGTTAACCTAAGATATGTGTTTATTAAGATTTAATTCTGAATGCGTTAGACATGCAGATGAGGCAGTGTGTTTGTACAAAGAACACGTAACACTCATTGGAAAAATATATTATTTTGTGAATAAAAAGTCGTAATTTTTTATCCACCACAAATTGACATCTACTAGAAGATATGTAACACGAACTTGCACTAACTACTAGGCTTTTAGTATCAATTTGAACGCTGTACCGGTAAACACTTTTCAAACTGGACTCCGATCGGATAGATTTCTAATATATCCAAACGAATTCGCGGAAGAACCTTAGAAGGGTAATTATTTACGTAGAGGGTTGACGAAGATACAGGGTGCGGGGTCTGTGGCCCTTACCATCGGCATCGTAAGCGACTTCCCAATCACGAGGCGGGCTTATCCTGGGCTTGACGGGCGTCGGGGACTTGCCTCGGAGACCACGGTCAAAGTCTGCCCACTTTTCGGCTTCAGCGAAAAACGGATCCTTTTTGAAGGTGTCCGATATCCTCGACGGCCACGCTCCTTCACGGCAAGTCTTACAATCAATACTACGCTCATACACGAGGACTGAACACAGGGTCGCGGTACTAGGTAACTGAACCTTCGTTACAGAGTGTAGTGTTCATGAACGTACTGCATACATTCGATGTCAACCTTGCGTATATTTACAATGCAGGTCATGCACATCCTGACACATGAGATGGTAGTTCTTGTGATAAATGCTGTGACTTTTCTGGTGAATATATCGTAAAATGAATCATTAAATCGTAAATTTGCAACCCTTAAAGTAATGAGAGGTACTACACTACTAAATCAAAACACATGTCGGTCTTTTATATTTTAATATAAAAAAATATGGATCGTGTTAGTTTATGCAATTTTTAGTTTGTATTTATAAAAAAATTGGGAATTGCGAATTCGTTTTAAAGGTATATAACAAATATAACAATAACTTTTAAACGAATTCTAAACATAAACAAATACGGTAAAGAAGTAAATAGTAAAAATCGGCCAAATCAAAAGAAAAAAAACAATTTCGATTTTCGTAAATCATACATATTACAACAGTAAAATAACCATTTGGATGAAATGAACATACGACACAATATAATTAATTCTAATATTGATAAATAGTATACTTTCGTATAAACTGATATTAATTTTGACAAAATAATCAAATGACTTAGAGAAAGTCTAATTCACAACAAGTGGATTCAAATGTAATTGAAACAATTAGTGAATTAGATCCTCTTTTGTACAATATTCTGAATCCACGTGATCTGCTGCGTTCGATATGTTCCTAATAGACGGTAAACATGTCCGCTAAACATTTATAAAATACTAGGAAACAAGAAACACAACATATAACATGGACCAGCTGAATGCCGCCATTCGTACTTTACTTACATGAAAATATCAACCTCAGACACAAAAGTTGACTATAAATTTTCTTTATCAAATAAAGAACGAATTTCGGAACTTAACCTAACTTAAACTATGATGATCGTGCATATAGTTTAATAAAATTTACCTTTTCCCCAGTGAGGTTTATTGTCGGGTTCATATTCGATGCCTTTTAGGCTCTTGGGTGAGAGTGGGTCGATGATGGGAGCGGTTAGGTCGGTGATGGGGTATGCCCGGTCCTTCAGATACAGTCCGTAGCGAGATGGGTAGAGGCGGTCGATGGCGGCCATCCTGTCAAGATGGTCCTGCCACGCCTTGTGAGCGTCGAAGGGGTCCACGCCACGACGGATACGCCTCGGCACGTGGTATACTGTTAAACGAAAACCATTTCAAAATCCAATGTTACGTCCAATATTTAAAACAACTTCTGAATGTTTAGGAAAAAAATTAACACTATTCGAAAAACTCATCCGTTAAAGAGGACTTTAAAAACGACAAATCATAAATAATTCAAATCAAGAAAAAGATAGACCTGTAAAAGAACACTGTGACAAAACAAAAATAAATCAAGTAAAATTTTCCACATACCATTCGGGTTTAAAAATAAATTTCAATGTCGCAAGTGTTA